GACTCTGCATCTCCAGGGAACCTCGGGGATCTCAGAGCCTGAGGGTGAACCGTATGGCAGAGGTTGAATTAGGAGCCACGTGACAGAGGCGTGCTGAGGAGGGAAGTGCAGGGAATTGGGCCATTCAGGGCCCTGCCCACTGGGTGCTGGGATAGGAAGCAGCATCCTCTTTCACACACAGGGACTGGTGCCACCGAGCTGAATAGATCCCTCGACAACTGGGGCAGGGCAGCGGATTCCAATCCAGCAGGAGAGCCAGCCAGCGGAGGGGGGAGACGAGGCCACTGGGGGAGCCAGCCAGCCCCCAGGTCTTCCAGTTCCAGCACCAACTCATGCCTCCCCTCAGACATTTGGGTGACAGTGACTCAGTCAACAAACGTGGCATCGTAGGATGATCCTTCGAACCCCAACTTGCTTGCACCCCATCCAGTAGGGGGATCTCATCCCTGAGTAGATTCCAGCAAGGTGAAAGGAAAAGTGCTTAAGGAGACCCTGCCCAGCAAGCACAGGAAATTCCCGGCGACTGCTGCCTCTTGCAGGAGGTCCAAGTGTATTAGGGGCAAGGTCATGCTAGTACAGGGGAGGTTGGCAGGAGACCTGCAACTTATTTTAGGTTCTTTGAAATTACACAACCTACAGCTCCAGCAGCCGGCGGAAATTTCACAAGCTATGAGTTTCACAGGAAGCAAACTGTTGTTGAAGTTGCCCTGTTTCTTGGTCCAATGTCCCACAAGAGCATCCAACTTGGGAAACACTGCTATGCTGGGCCACAGCTACGGAGGTTTGTCACCCGAGCCCCAAGCTCTTCCTCGATACACTGATTTCCTGTCCCTTTGCAGCATCACGCAGGCCTTCTACTCAGGGACCCAAGCAGGTCTGTGGCATAGACCTCACGGGGACTAAAACCCCAGTCTCTTATTATTTGCAGGGACCGATTAAGTTTACTGATTTATCTTTGTGACAAGGAGTGACACGACTAGACAGAACATGTTTCTGGACACACAAAACTCAAGCTGGCTCTGTCCTTACCTTTCTAACACAGCTCTTTATTTTGGTAGCTTTCCTCCTGCACCCCCCGCCCCCCACCGGGGGAGTCCTGTATGTGTGCATTTAACTAATGTGCTGGGGGGAGATAAAAAGGAGGCTGAAGGAGAGCAGGTCCTGTGAGGGATACAGGCACTGAATGTTCGATACCACTGGCAAAACCTAATCAAAGACTGGTGTGGGTGCTGTCCGGAGAAAATGCACTGCACCAGCAGCCAGGCAAACGGGCCACCATGGCTCCCTCCAGAGGGGCCGAAAAGAAACCAGAGAAATGACCGAGGACCATAGAGAAATACTGACTCAAGGGGTTAGAGGAGATGATAAAGTCATCTATGGAAGACAGCAGATGCTTGAAAATAAGGACCTACAAACTGGATCACCTTAAACTTGCTGAAGCGTTTGAAGCAGAAGCATACTTAAGTGGCTCCATTTTTTAATATAACCATTTTTTAGAAGTAGGAGGTGATTGCACACACATAACATGGTGTACCTAACTTTTTAGGCAATTTCAAGGGTAACTTGACAGTATTCAATTTTGTCTTTATGAGGGGTATAGCTCAGTGGCAGAGCATTTGACTGCAATTTTGTCTTTATGCCCTGACTTTACAATCGAACAGTCGACAACATGCTCCTCCACTATGTACGAAAACAAAACCAAAACTAACAACCTGATTAAAGGCATGTAAAAATTCATCATAGTTGAACTAGCTGGAGAACGTTTCCCGCCTTAAGACAAAAACAAAAACAAAAACTATCTAGCAGGCTTTTTTTCTGTTTATCACTTTACCTTTGTTCAGAATCATATAGATGAATCGTGGCCTGATCATGGTGTTAGCTGTGGGACAGAACATCTGGTTCCATGACTTATTCAAATAGTGGCTATTGAATTTCTCAGTGAAAGAGAGAAAAACACACCTAATGTATTAAATGTGGACCCAAGCCTTGGAAGCATCTACTTCCAGTTGCTGAGGAGAAAAAAGAACCAAAGGGGCTTGGAGCCCTTGGGAAACAGGGCCAGCCACTGATTGGGGGTTGGGCCTTTCATCGGATCTTCAGTTGCCAGTGTCAAGGAAACAAGACTGAGATTTCTCCAGAATCTGAGAGACTTCTAAAGCCTGGCCCCCTCCATCTGTTTGGGAGGCAGGAAACGGATTCTCTGTGCTCCATGGGAAGAAGGCCAGGAAAAGGCAAAAAGCAAGTTGGCAGGTCAAAGTCATGGACAGCCCTAGGGGTAGAACCAGAGTCTGGGTTTCCAGGCCAGAGTCTGCTTTCCAACTTGCATTTCTCTGAGCAAAAGCTTTATTGTTTGGGTGTCATTAATAATAGCACCCCCTTCATTCTCTTTTGAGAGTGTCCCGACGTGGAAATAAATTCTATGGTCAGTCTTATTTATGCTCCACTTCTTAAAATAAGGGATGAATTCTTTCTTTCCTAGGTTATAGCAAAGGTAGAGAACTCTGGACTCAGAACTTAGAGCCAAACTCTAGTGTCAATGCTTCTACAGACCTCACATCAAGACTTCTACTTCTATGACCCTGGGGAAGTCATTCCATTTCTATTAAAAAATAATGACCAGTAGGTTGACTTTTGACTTTCCTGCTCGGAGTCTATAAACAGTAAAGTAACAGGGCAGAGATTTTCCTAGGAATAGAAGTACTAGATAAGGACTATGCAACCCTTTTTAAATGCAAGGAGCACAAACAGGCTGTTTGAAACCTGATCTCCTGCCTTCTGGGAACTGTGAATCCCTTAACCTATTAGCTCCTTATATCTCCTCCTGGCTTTAAAATTAAATTCTTATTCCACATTGTCATTCTACACTTTAATTATTTATTTACACCCTGCCTTGTTCCAGAAAGGATTTAACTGGGCTTATTCTATAGTTAGTCACAAGTAGATTCCTTAATTTAAAAAGGAGAGAAACTGGGAGAGACTGATCTATTGACCTAGCCCAAAAGCACATCTCTAATTGTTATCAACCCCAAATTAATCCAAGTGGCTGGCTTTTCCCAAAAACCACCCACCTACCACTGAGAGGCGCTAGTTAGCACACCATGGCCTCACAGATCTCCAGCTCCTCAGCTGCGGCCTCTTCTTTAACCACCAAGTGGAGAATCTGTCTAATGGAGTACTTCCTCCTGAAAGTGGTGCCAAGAGTCCCTGGGCAACCTTAGATTTTCGATTTTTATAGACCTTTACTTGAAAGGTCTTTCACTCTTTGTGGTTCCTGTCTTCTCATCTGTGAGATGAGAGCCATGTCCGCCTTTTTAACACACGGATGAATAAGTACATCTGTGAAAACACCTTGGAAAAGATGCACAAAAAGTTCTGACCTCCCAGCCAATTGTTTGAAGTCAGATACCATCATGGCTCAGCCTGGCCCACCCACCCCCCAGACTGGGTCAGACCATCAAAAGTGTTGAAAGAATTTCTGCAGTAGATCAGCTGGAACCTGGTGGGCAGACAGTGGGAACCGGCTGATGCTTGACTGGTTACTCCTCAGATATGAGTGTATTTATCGAAGCACACAGACAGGAGGGAGGAACGGGAGCTGGGGAAACCAAGTTATCCTGAAAGACTTGAGCTGGAAACCTGCCGTGCTTCCCCAGGTGGAGCTCAAGAGTGGAAGACGGGACAGGCTAAGGAGGTGGGAAGCCAGGTTCTAGGGCATGTGCTTTGGGGGTAGGAAAGCAATCAGAAGTGGGTGGGGGTGGGGTTGTTTTAAATATCAGCAGCTTGGAGAAGGGATTACTGGGAGACAAATGGGGAGATCGGGGCGAGTAAGGTCTTGCCACGGGGGAAAGGGATTTCACAGAGATAAAGGGTAACGGAGGGGCTCCGCTGGGAAAAAAGGAAGGGATCCTGGGGAAGACAGGGTGACTGAAGGTCTCTGCAGGTTAAAGAATGGAGACTGATAGAAAATACGTGCCCAGGAAGAGCTCCACAGAAAAAAAAGAGCGGGATGATGGTCTCCACTTGGGAAACGGGAGTAACTGTGGGGAGCGGGTCGGGTTGGCCATGGGGTGTCAGGGTAGTCTCTTACAAGGCGGCTGGGGTTGAAGGGGAGGGAAGGAGGGAGATCAGGGTTGGAAGGGCTTGTTTCACGGGGGAGGTTGGGGTTGGCCGGGGGGAGGGGGGATCTCCACACAGGCCCAGCCTCACCGTCCGCCAGGGCCTCATTGCACTCGAAGCTGATCTCGAACCGGAAGGGGCTGTGGAAAGGGCTCGGATTCTCCAGCACCGCCACGTTCAGCACAGAAACCTTGGCCATCGCCTTGCCGGACTGCGGCAGAGGCCACAGCTGGGACCGAGCCCGCGCCTGAGTCCTCTGTGGTCAGCGGGGTGGCGTTACCCAAAGCAGCTCCCGCCTCTTCTGTCCGCCGACTGAAGTGCGTATTTGATCCGCGCGCCTCCTTCAAATAGCCGGCCCCACCCTCCGGCCAATCACCGTCAACGCTCCCCGGCGGCGCGAGCACATCCTCAGCCAATCCTGAGGCGAGATCGGCGCGCGCCGAGACTCCTCGGGCCAATCCGTGAGCTCCCTCTCCGGGATGCGCGGGGGAGGCGGAACCATTTCTTGGCTTCCCTGGGTGCCCACCGGGAACCAATCCCCAGCGTCTCCGACTCGGATGTCTAGGGCGGGGGTGGGCGGAGGCAGAGCGCGAGGCTCCTCTTGGCCAATCCCAAAGGTTCCCGCACAGGCGTGGCCCGCGCTTCGCCCCGCCCTTCCGGGAAAGACGCATCCCGGCGGAGGGCAGCGCCGACCGCCTAGAGGTGGCGCGCGGCGCCCGCTTAAGAGGGCGGGAAGGGCGGTGCTGGCGCCCGCGGTGATTGGCAGGCAGGCGTGTGGCGGGGCTGATGCAGATTTTCTGAGAGGTGATTGGCTGGGTTGGTCGCGGGGCGGGAGGAGAGGAATATTTAGCTGGGGATTCGCGGCAGAGGAGCGGAAGTCGGCTGCCGGCGTGCTTGAACCGTGTGTGGAGGGAGAGGAGGAGCGTTCGTCGCCCTGGCGTCTGTCAGCAGGTGAGCGTAGCCGGCACCTTCTCTAAGGGGCTCCGGGCTCCTCTGGCCCGGCGGCGGGGGAGTCCGTTGTGAACGTTGGTCACACTCCTGAGGGGAGACGGAGCGGCGCTCACGCGGCGCGCTAGGTCCGGGGCCCCGGGAGTCGGGCCTGGTTCGAATCCTGCTCTCGCCTCCTCGAGGGCCGCTGGGAGGTTTCAGGTGGACAGGGGAGTTGGAGTCCGGCCTCTGCCACTCAGCTCCCGGGGCCTCGGCTCCCCGCCCCGTGAACGGGGCCGTTGGAAACTCGCGGACTTGACTCGTGGCTGCATAATACAACTAGGAACTTCTCGGCACCCCCTCGCCAGGGTCGGACCGCCGTCGTGCCCTGCCTGGGAGACTCCAGGCACCTCTTGGAGCGATCCTCAGCTTCCACCCGCGAACAGCGGAAAATTAACGCGAGCCACATTTCTCGCTTTACATTTTTCTAGTAAGCACGTTAAAAAAAAAAAAGTAAAACAAAAACAAAAAACCAGGTGAAATTAATGTTATCTTTAACCCAGTGTAGCCAAGATCTTATTTCAACATGCGATGGGTCTAAAAAATACAAAGGAGATATATCTTCCATTCTTTTACTAAGTACCAAGGCTTCGAAATCCCGTGCGTTTTACCGTTGCAGCTGCATTTTCATCGGAAAGAGTCGGTCTGGCTTTAGGTTTCATAAAATTGAGAGTTGAAAAGGTAGGTTCACATGCCCACGCCGTCTGTTCCCAACATACTTACAAGTTTTCCGGGAGCTCGACTGCATGTCGGGTTTTCAGTGTAAACGTTAATCAGTTAGAATTGAGTGATGGGGAAAATTCTGTGCTGCAGCGGCACGAACTGTGTGCAGGTGTTCGTGAGCCCCCGTGGCAAGTGGCTGCTGTATTCCTGGACAGTGTAGGTGTGAAACAAACTGGATCAGCCACTCTTAAATATGAGTGGTTTTCTATTCTCGGGATAAGAATACTGTGTTGGAGAATCTACATGCTTTGTTTCCTACTACCCCCTTCCCCCAACCCCAGCTTTCAGTTCGGCCAAACTCTTTTGGTTCCTTAGAAATCTGACCTGGCATTTCCGGTGCAGAACCTCCACCTGGAACCTCTTCTTCCCTGCTCTTGGCATGGCTGACACCTTCTTGTCATTTAGTTCTACCTGTTCAAATGTGCTTTTCTCAGAGAAGCCATTGCAAGGGTCCCCTGGCCACTGTTCAGACTCATAGAGTGTAGGCCTGAACAGCACCAATTTAAGCCACTAGCATTTCTTAGCCAGCCACCTCTGTGGTGTTGGTACAGTTGTAAGGCCTCATGATGCTAGGCATTTTGTTTTTTCTTTTTGTATATCTGCATTTCACATTAAGTTAAAAAAAAGTTTTGTGGTTAAAAATATTGACAGCTGTTTTTCCTTTGAGATGATTTGGCTGCAAGAAAATCCCCATTTATGATCAGCTATGATTTCTTGGCAGACGTTGGGTATACTTGCGAATTTTTGTGACAAAAAATCAAATTTTCAAATTATTTCCAAATGTAATTCAAATGTTTATATGAATACTAAGTTTAATGATGAATGAAGTTGCCATGATTGTTGTTTTCTAGATATTTAATTAAATACTTATACATTCCAGCTTCGTAGTTTTCTTTTTGCATTGTGGAACTTTCCCCCCACCCCCCAACCTTTTCGTACCCTCTGAGAAGCTCATCAGCCACAAGCATTATGTCTTTGGTGCTAATGAGGAAAATGGCTCTTGGGCGCCTGGATGGCTCAGTCGTTAAGCGACTGCCTTTGGCTCAGGTCCTGATCCCACAGTCCTGGGATCGAGTCCCACATCGGGCTCCCTGCTCCATGGGAAGCCTGCTTCTCCCTCTCCCACTCCCCCTGCTTGTGTTCCCTCTCTCGTTGCGCGCTCTCTGTCAAATAAATAAATAAATAAATAAAATCTTTAAAGAAAAAAGCAAATGGCTATCTATGATGAGTACTCCATACAGCTGGCTGAATAATCTTGAATTGTAAACCAGATTATGTCATTTACGCTGCTTAAAACCTTCAAAGGCTTATCATACTTAGAATGAAACCTAAGATCTTTACTGTGGCTTAGGAGGCCCTGCACGGTGACCTCAGCTGACCTCTCAGGCCTCATCTACCAGTCTTCCTCTTGTCACCACTCTCCAGCCTTGCTGGCTTTATTTACTGTCTTTCAACACACCAAGCTTATTCCTGCTGCGGGGCTTTGCACTTGCTGTTCCCTCTGCCTGAAATATGCTGTCTTTAGACAATTGCATGGCTGTCTCATTGTCATCATTTATGGTTCAACTCAAATGTCCCCTCAAAGAAGCCTTCCCAGGCCACCCTAGTTTAAAGCAGCCCTTCCTTAATCATATTACCCTGTTTTATTACCTTAGTAGCATTCAGATCCAGTACTTAAATTGGTTTTAGACTGTGCTTATCTCTCATCATCCCTGAGTAGATTGACAGCTGATTGAAGGTAGAGATCTCTGCTGCCTCACATTGACCTCTGAGTGTATTTAAAAGAATAAATTCGTATAGGGGCGCCTGGGTGGCTCAGTCGTTAAGCGTCTGCCTTCGGCTCAGGTCATGATCCCAGGGTCCAGAGATCGAGCACTGCATCGGGCTCCCTGCTCAGTGGGAAACCTGCTTCTCCCTCTCCCACCCCCCCTGCTTGTGTTCCCTCTCTCCTGCCTCTCTCTCTGTGTCAAATAAATAAATAAAATCTTAAAAAAAAATTCATGTAAAGGGCTTAATACCTGGTATGTGAAAAGCACTCTATAACATCAACTGTTAGTAGTATATAGTAATAAGTCTTTATTCTTCCTACGTAATATTTCAGGTGCACACACATTTGGAAAGGTAGAAGAAATGCTACAGCAAAACAAATTTTTACCCATTACCCTGCTTAAGGAATCAAACATTAGAGATTCTGTTGAAAGGTCTTCTGTACCCCTGTCTCAAACCTAGTCCTTTTCCCCTTTTCCTCAGATGTAACTACAACCCTAGATTTGGTATTTGTTTTTCTGTGCATGTTTGTACATGTTTATTATATACATGTGTCTTTAAACAATATATAGTATATATCATGTTCTACAATTTTATATAAACGAAATCTGTGCAAAAAAGTTACCATTCTAGGCATGAGACTGCTGTCTTTAGAAAGGCCTGTTTGCAAGGTTGGCCCTTGACTGGCTTCTAGGAACTTGGATTTCAGGAAGGTTCTTGTCATCCCGTAAATAAGAGTGCCTCATGGTGCCTAAACTGTACAAATGTGATTTATGTTGAATACCTCCTTTCCTTCTGGGTTCTGGAATTTTGGTACTTGACCAGCGCCCAATAAATACTCTGGGCATTGAGTCTCTAAGTTTCCCTGGTGGGCAACAGTTCACACGTGTTGTTACAACCTTCCTGTAGGAACTAAGTGCATCCCATGTGACTTCACTAGGTGAGGATTCTTGAAATCCTGTGTCTGGTTTCCTCTAGACTTCACACCCTGTGCCTTTTCCCTTGGCTGATTTTGCTTTGTACCCTTTCACTATAAGAAACCATAGCTGTGTGTAGGCTATATGCTAAATCCTGTGAGTCTTCCTAATGAATCAACTGAACCTGGGATGATCTTGGGGACTGCTGACACACTAGCATACTGATATATACTTACAGGTTGAGACGAGCAAGGCACCTATGACCCAAAATTTAAGGAGGTGTTCACTCTCGGGGTCACCCAAGTGTCCAACCTGTACCTGTACAACCCTGAGGGTGAGTGCCTCCTAATATTTTCACTCTATACACTCCGCTTGCTTCACTCTAGTCCCGGCCATTACCTTGTGAAACTTTCTTTTTTTGTCCAATGTGATGCTTTTGCAGTGTATCTACATTTACATGTATGTAACTCTAATTCATTTATTTCTACTGCTGTAACCGTGCTGTCTGATGTGGTAGCCATCAGCCACATATGGCTATTTGGATTTCAGTTAATCAAAATTAAATAAAAAGCCCAATTCTCTACTCACTCTTAGTCACATTTTGTGCATTTAATAGGCACCTGTGACTGGTGGCTACCACATTAGACAGTATGGGTAGAGAACACTTCATGGTCACAGAAAGTCTTCTTGGACAGTATTTACTTATCCATTTATCTCTTGCTCGATATTTAGGTTGTTTCTCATTTTCTACTCTTACTAACAGTGCTTCAGTGGTCACTGTTTTGTGTAGGAGTTTCCCTAGGATACACATCTAAGAGTTGAAATGCTGGGTTATGGGAATATCCACCTTACTGGATACTGCCAGTTTGCTCTTCAAAGTGATGGTTGCAGTTCTTACTCCCACCAGTAGTGTTGCTATTGCTCAGTGTCCTTATCAACACTTGGTACTGTCAGATTTTTACATTTTTGTTTTTCTGATGGGTGTACATGAGTGGTTTCAGTTAGCGTTTTTCTGATTACTAGTGAGGTTAAGCTATTTATATCTATTTATTGACCATTTGTCTTCTGTTAATTGCCTTTTGATATCTTTGCCCATTTTCCTGCTGCATTGTCTTCATCTTAATTAGTGCAGAAGTTCTTCTTACATCTGATACTTGCCTTTTCATTTGCCTGGTGTCTTTTGATGTTCAGGATTTATTATTATTATGTTAATGTCATCAGAGTAATCAATCTACTTAAAGTTTGTGTTTTTTGTGCTTTGCTTAAGAAATCGTACCCTGAGGTCGATAAGATATCCTACTGTGTTTTCTTTTTCTTTTTTTCTTTTTTAAAGATTTATTTATTCTAGAAAAAGAGTATAAGCAGGAGGGGCAGAGGGAGAGGGAAAGAGAGAATCTCAGGCAGACTCCCTGCTGAGCACAGAGCCCAACGTGGGGCTGGAGCCCATGACTCTAAAGATCATGACCTGAGCCGAAACTAAAGGTCAGGCGCTCAACCAGCTGCGCCACCCAGGTGCCCCATCCTACTGTGTTTTCTTCTGGAAGTTTTACTTTTTAC